GTTATTGCAAAGATGCCATGCCCAGCGGCAAGATGGTGAATGCAATTGCCGGTAAACCCTGAAATAAACTGGGACAAAATCTCATAGTTGATCTAGTGATGAAAACATCAACCCAGTTTTATTGCATTCTGCAAAGGAATATAAATTGAGCCCTCCACCTCTATAAGACTTCAGAGTGTGTCCTAACCCTCTCGTGTGTTTAGAAGTTGTTTCACTCTCACGTTGAGCGTGCATGCGTCTGTGGAGGGAATGCATTTTAACATCTGCGTAATTATGCTAACACTTTTGCACTGATTGAAAAGCATTTTTAATGTGTGTGTGTGTGTGTGTATGTACTTGCATCCTGATTTAACTTTATAGATAAGCATTGCATCAGCCTGTCTTGTGTTGTCATTTGTCCTCAGCGGACTATAAGGAAACACTGTGGCCAAGCACATAATGTTTTTTTGCTGGGTTTTTTGTTTTGTTTTTGTTTTTTGTTTTTTCTTCTGCCGCTGGTCAGTAAATGTCTGTTTCCCTCACACGGCCTTAAATGTGCTTACACGCATTTCTTGTGGTCGCAGTTCATTTGTGGTGTTTTTTTCCATATGAGATGAGTTTGTTGTAGAGACACTGGAGCTCAGCTTTGAACACAGAGTTTTGATAGTCTCCACATTTACACGCCATGGTAGTGTCTAATGTTAGTCGTTTTATTATAAGCAGTGCCTTGGTAATAAGGATTAGCATTTGCTCTTTTTAGAAGCCGTCTCGTGTTAACCAACAGATTTGCTTTCACATATTTACCAGCACATAGGATGTACAGTATTTTTGATTTCCATGCCATTGTGTATAGCATCGAGTGCATATAGTGAAACTGTGGATGTGTCTTGTTAGCTGACAGGTCAGTCTGTTGTATCTGACAGTGCACTTCTTTTGTCATGGGACTGCGCTGTCTTTAACATCCTGAAGAAACGGGAGCATGCCATTATGGCAAACCTTCTGATCATACTATGGTTTCTTATCCACTATATAGACCAGTCGAAGGATCACAGTGACTGGAACAAGGTGCTATGTTTTCATCCTGAAATGGTGAATTTGTTGTTTTCTTCTTCTTCTTCTTCTCCTTCTCCTTCTCCTTCTTCTTCTTCTTCTTCTTCTTTTTTTCTGTTTTCTTTTCTTCTTTTTTTTTTTTTTTTTTTTTTTTGTGGTTACAAAAGTTTGTCTGTATGTTTTTGTTCTGTAAATTGAGCAGCATTAGCTGAAATATGAAACATGCCAAAAGAACTTGTTTTCAGCACAGCTTTACAGTACGTGTTGTTTTCAGAGACTGAGTAGAGAGGCAAATACATCTAATTTTGAGTGTATTTAATCGTTCTGTGTGTGGTTGATTATGTAATGTTTATTTAAAATAAAAAAGAATAAAGTTTAATTTTCTTTGTTTTTGTTTTTGCTGTTGCTTGGAAGTAGTTTTTCATGTAACTTAACTTGTAAAAACTTAAATACTTAAACAACTCGATTCTTTACCCTCACATTTTCCAACCAAAGGAGTCTACTATGTTTTCCATTTGTTTGGTTAAATAATAACTGTAGACAAGAGACATTATAGATGGATAGATAGATGCCCAGAAGTTTGAACTATAACGCCTAAATCTATATAACAATAAAAAAGAAAGTATTTAGTGAACAGCTTCTGAATGAATATAAAGGTTTTATACAGACTTATTCACATTTTGTTACTACTGTCATATATATGTTTTCCGTACTTTTGTCCTTTGTCTCTTTCTCCCCTTTGACTTGCTCTATGACTCTTTCCTGCCAGTTGATTCTGCTCACAGTCTTGTTGGAACTTATGAAGGAATAGCACATATACATGGTCCATTGATTAAACGTCATTTTACATCATACAGCATCAACAGCTGCATAAATCGCATTCAGTGACCCTCATTTCTAGAAGAGCTCAGTGGCAGTGTTAGGGTAACCTGTTGATCAAGTCTTTTTTTTTTGTAAATCAGGACTTTTCGTATGGAATAATTAAGGTGAGTTGTTTTCTTTAACAGCACCTCACTGCCACGTGTTCCCACTATTGTCCTGTGCTTGCTATAATACTGTAAATACTATCAAGACTGTAAATAAAGATGTGCTTCTTTTTTGCTAGTTTGTCTCATTTTTTATTTAATTGTTTTATTTCAAACATATAAGTAATATAAAAAAAAATATTGGATACAAAAAAAAAGGAATCGCTCTACCATACAATTTACATGCTTCAAAAGGGGTATGATGAAGCTTACGCCTACTTGATCCTGCCCACCTTATTGCTTGTTTTTAATGTTGTCCAAGCCCCTTGAGTGTTTTGGGGAGGACATGCCTGCCATCTGCTGTTCAGTCTTAGTAATCTTAATCTTTGGTAGAACTAAAATTTGTCTCACTTGTCATCTGCCATCGTTTCACCTCTCATCCGAGAAGCTTCTTCAGTTCTGAAGAAGCTTCTCGGATGAGAGGTGAAACGTCTTCAAGCAACTTAAAGAAGTATTTTATTTGCAAGCTCCTTTGATTGTCATCTGCCATGTAACTGTTCTTAAGGTAACACCCATGTGTTTCAAGCTGTGAACATGATACAGCTATGACCTTATTCTCGAAATGGCTGTGAGGTCAAGTGGAAGGCCACGGAGACCGGACTGGAGAGTATGCATTGCTTCCATTTAGCAAAAAAAAAAGAAGAAAAGTCTCATTACAAAGACATGTTTTACTTGGTGTTTAATATTTAGGTTGCTAAATTATAGCCAGGCTGTTGGCAGGTGCCATGAGAGGGTGGTTACTGTCTGCAAGTGAGTTTTAAAAGTTGCAGAAATATGTTGTGGTGTTGTTTTGGTATATTAAGTGATTTGAAATCAAGGAACCTAGCCTGTGCTAATTTGTGACACAGTACCGCAGTAGAAGGTTTGGACGTATTTCATGCCAACACAGAGGATAGCATTATCTAAACTATTTTCTTCCTCAGTACACATACTCTAGTTAGAGTATGGAAACTAAACACAGTGGCCAGGAGAGGATGAAGCAGAGGAAAGCAGCAACAGTGGATTACCGTCTGCTAGAGTTTCTGGGAGTTTAAATCAGGGTCCAGGCTACCTGCTGCTGTCAGTCACTGGCACTGGGGGGAAAGCCCGCACTGGAAGAGTAAGAAAATAACATGGAAGCCAAAGTTTGGGGACAAAAGGGTTAACACTGGCTTTAGTCACTTCAAGTAGAATGATTTTTTCCTAAAAGGAAATTGAGAGTCTATATTAAAAACGTGCACTGCAACCTGAGGTTTGTTGCCATGCTTTATCAAGTGATTTAATCAAAGTGAATACTTCACTAAGGATACATTTAAAGTATTACTGCATTCTAGTCCTTTCCACAATATGGACAATATGAAGTCATAACTTCATTCTGGCCCTGATGAGCTGGGGACAGCAGCTGTCACAGTGGATGTTGTGGAAAACAGTCTGCTGCAAGCTCAGTCAACTTCTCAGCCTAATCATAAGCAGATTAAGTGGATTTATTATTCACTACAACTACTGCAAATGAATGAACTATCAAGAGAGGCAGACTGATAGATTTATGTTTTTGTTCAGAGATCAGAGCGGGGTTTAATTCTATAAATAAGCAGAAGAATGAGGAAGCTGTTTGTGCCTTTGTCACCACTGCAAATGTTCAATGATATCAGAGTGCAGGCTGGATTCTGTTACTGGTAATATGATGACAGGGACTGGATTTGTGATGCAGTATCTAATGATGTCTTGGTGTTAATTACCTTCACATTTAACCTGGCACATCTTGAGCTGTTGTAAACTGAGGTAAACTTTCATTAAGTAGAGACAGAGGTGGCAAGAGATTGATTTAAGCATCTCAGATTTGCACATCTAAGAAAGTCTGAAACAAGTGAACAACAACAAGCCAACAAGTGGAGGTTCAGTTTTGTTTGCAGCGCTGTTAAGTCTTCAAATCATGAATAATCCCCTACGGGACATAGTTTTCAGAATTATACCCTGCCTGTGAATTTGTGTCAATTACCTTGACTATCCAAGTACAGAACTTAAATCAAACTCATTTTACATGTACTTTTAAGTGAAAAATCTTAAAGGAAACTCATCTTTCTGTCAGGATAAAGAAGTTTAACTGAACATTCAATCCTTGAGATATCTTAATAGGAGAAAAAAGAAGCAGAATTTGGATTTAAAAGTACAAAAATGTGTAAAGTTATTTAATTACTTAAAAGAATAAAACTCTATCTGTTACTTCATTACTTTGGTGTAGTATGAATAGACATGGGGGAATTTTTTGTTTCGGAGCAGTAAAATCTCTAAAACCATGAAAATACAGTAAGTCCAAAATTTATGCCCTCCTTTACATTGGAGGGGATAATTGACAGGTTTTGAATACAGTTAAAATGATATTAAAACAGAAGTAGTTAATAGGTGTTTAAACTTGTGTGGTAAAAAAAAACTTTTTTGTGGGCCGATATTACATTGAAGCCTGATTCTGCTGGCCTGGGGGGAGAACCAGGAATTTGTTTATAGGCTTGATTTAAGGTGAGGGGGGGGGGGGGAGGGGGCACTAAAATCTTGGGGTGGCAAACCCCCCAAAAAAACATGAACAGTGCAGCATGTGATGATGGGAAATGTGAGGGATATATAAAGTGACACCTGGGTGAGGGGAGGGGGGGGGGGGGTGGGGGCACGGTCTCCCTTGGTAGCGCCCCTGTCTGCCAGAGTTTCTAACTGTTAAAAGGGAGTTTTTCCTTCCCGCTGTCGCCAAGGTGCTTGCTCATTGGGTGGGTCGTCTGATTGTTGGTGTTTCTCTGTATTATTGTTGGGTCTTTAACTTATAATATTAAGCGCCTTGAGGCGACTGATATATAACTAAACCTGAACTGAACTGAAACTCAATAAACTGCTCCTGCTTGACGCGTCCACACGCGTCAAGCACACATTTACACCTAGTATGAGTTGTTTATGACTTGTGTCCGTATTGCCGTCTCCAGCCTGCAGCAGCAGCAACCCAGCAGAGGCCAGGCCAGCCTGCTCTCCTTCCCGAAGCCACCATCAGGCTATCTCCTATCTCCAAATGACAGGTCTATTTTGGAAAGGAGGCTGCGCCAAAATAGGCACGTCAGCTATGTGGCATCATGAGGCACCAGAGAAGAAAGAAAAAGTAAGTCTGCTCAACCGCCCACTGCAGGAGACGGGGGGATGTTTCACTATCTTGGATTTACAACCATTTTGAAATATATTTGAGGTCAAAGAAGACTTTTTCTTGCCCCCCATGTGGAGCCCCTGAACGCTGTTGGAGAGGGCCATCATCCGGAAATCCTGACGGGCTATTGATTGTTTGGCCCACATGATTCAGCGCCTGAATTTCCTGAGCGGTTAAGGACTCAAGGTGAAGAAGCAGTAACACAACAGTTAACTCATTTTCTTACAGTAAAGTTTACATAGGAACTTGGTCGAAGTTAGAATTTCTTTTCCTTTTTTTGTTGGTTAATTTGAGCTTCGGTGCAGCTCAAAGAGGTAGATAGCTGTCATTTTTCACCTGTGACTATTACAGGGGCGGATTTGAGTTCATTAGCCAACCGCATCATCCAGCTGAAGTTTCTGTTATGTTTAAGTAAACACAAGCTCCTTTGTCGAATTTTTTCCGTGATTTTTTTAGTCGTTCATTAAATTCCAGTGTCTTTTTTTACGAGTTTTCCTCAGCTGGTAGAAAACGGACAGTGCTAGAAATGAAGTATGTTTGCGAAGTGGGAGCTTTATCAAACAGCTGATGTCCCTTTCGCTTCTACAAATGGCAATGGACAGAGACGGAGTCTGACAGCTGAGGTTATTTTTGGGACAGGCAGTTAAAGCGGCGGAGGTGACAAAGCTGGTAAATGTCACTGTTTGAAAGACACATAAGCGCTCTTTCTGACCTTGTTGTGAGGGAATTTGTTTGCTATTTAGCTTCTTTCGCTTTGAATAGGTCTTTGTATTGATGAATGTCCGCTGCGGCAGGTCAAGGATATGTTGACTGATATATAGCTACTGTAACTGTCAGCTATAAATATGCCACCCTAACTCTGGATTTATGTCTATTTTCATAGCATAACACATTTTAGAGAACACATAGCAGAATGCCAGATTTTACAATGGGTTTGTGTAAAGTTGACAGGTGTTTGTGGAGGAATATGATCTACAGGAAATAATAGAAAATGTATTTACTTTTCTTGATATAGTTTTGTAATTTTTACATTTGTACTTCCTGGTTTATTTATACTTGGAGTTGAAGATTGGTGTTTTTAATAAAGGTTATTAAACTTGTACATATATAAAATCAGTTTTGTATTTATTTATTTAATATTTTTATTGTTTCAATTACTTTATTTGTACCCATGGGTAGATTTGGTCTGGAGTAGAGAGTCATCCATCTTCCATCCATGTTTGTCAGTGCAAACACAGAAAATATATAAGCTTAATAAAAAAATACTGAAGAAATAATTATACTATAATTACAGAGAATTCACTTGGCACCATGTAGGATAGCAACGCTATGCTCGGTTAATCTGAGTAATGGCTGCTGGAACAAAGTTGTTTTGTAAACCGTATTGTTTTGCACTTTGGGACGAGAAGCTGAAAGTCACTATGCAAAGGGAGCAAATTGTCCAGTAAAATCATGCCCAGCAGACACTATAATTGTGGTGTACAGTGATGCTGAGCTCAGCCGTGGCTCACCAATCTGCCCTTTCTGTCCTTCACAGATAAATATCAGTTCAATTCAATTTTTATATACATAGCACCAAATCACAGCAATAGTCATCTCAAAGTGCTTTATACTGTAAAGACTCTACAGTAATAGAGAGAAAACCCCAACAATCAGATGCCTCCCTATGAGCAAGCATGTGGTGACAGTGGGAAGGAAAAACTCCCTCTTAACAGGAAGAAGCCTCTGGCAGAATCAGGGAGGGGCAGCCATCTGCCATGACTGATTGGGGTCAGGGTTAGGTTGAGGGTAGGGCGAAAGGACAAAAGAGAGAGAGGCAGAAATCAACATCGTGACACCAAATAAAAAGGATAAAATAGACTAAAAAAAGCAGGATGAAACAAATGGTTTTATCAGTGTGGAGATTTTTTGCACACATGTTGCTTCAAAGTTGAGTTTGGACTCAATAACTGTTCCAAGATATTTATAAGACTTATAAGATGTGTAATATTTGCCCTTTGTTTGATCACAGGAACAAACGATGGAACAAAACTTGTTTGGAGGTGCCCCCAGGTTTCTCACTCGCCCAAAGGCATTTTCAGTGTGTGTGGGCAAGGATGCCACACTCAGCTGCACAATTGTGGGCAGCCCAACTCCACTGATAACCTGGGAAAAAGACAAGCTGAAGCTGACGTCCGGAGGCCGCTTCAAGACTGTGGAAGATGGAGACGCTTATCGCCTGACCATCTATGACTTAACTCTGGAGGACAGTGGACAGTACATGTGCAGAGCTAAGAACAGCGTCGGTGAAGCTTACGCCGCTGTAACCCTCAAAGTGGCGCTGCCGACAGAGATGTCTCAGAAGGCCCCTGTTTTCATGGTGAAGCCTGCCTCTGCACGTGTTGTTTTGGGCGGTGATGTTGTTTTCCACTGCCGAGTTGCAGCTTACCCTGAGGCCAACTTTGAATGGGAAAAGGATGGGCGCTACCTGGGGGAGACCAACCGCATCAAGATCATTTCTGAGAGCGATGGCAGCACTTTAAAGATCCAGTGCGTACGAAACCTGGACAGCGGCACTTACACCTGCAGGGCCCAGAACACTGTCGGCCGCGCACAAGCTGCGGCTGCCCTCGTTGTAGATGCTCAGGATTCCCACCGCCAAGCTGTAGATAAGAGCAGCTCCCTTCTCTCTCACCTACAGAAGCGCAAAGAGGAGATCTCCATCTACCGCAATGAAGAAAGCAGCGCCTCCATTTCTTCCTCCTCCACGGCCAAAATCACGGATGCTTTCAGTTCTCTGGGCCTGGAACACGATCTGCGAGCATCTGCCCTGGCGAAGCTTCCCAAAGGTGTATTCACTCGTACCTGCACCGTGACTGAGGGGAAACATGCCAAACTCAGCTGCTTTGTGACCGGTCACCCCAAACCCCACACTATCTGGAGGAAGGATGGAACGAACATCAGCGAGGGCCGCAGACATGTCATTTATGAGGACCAAGCTGAGAACTTCATCCTGAAAATCCTGTACTGCAAGCAGACTGATAATGGCCTCTACACCTGCAATGCAACCAATATGGCTGGGCAGACCTACAGCGCTGTGTTAGTAACAGTCAAAGGTAAGCTATTACCATTTTTGAGCAATCGCAGTTAAGAAAATCCTCCTGAAGTAAGTTTTTAGTAAAGATATGTTTGCATACTTCTAATAAGTATGCAGGGTTAATATTAAGGCCGGCTTTACCTTATTTTTTGATAATGCTAACAAATCTCAACTCACTTTCTGTCTGTAGTATTCAGGTTAAAGACCCTAACCCTCTGAAGATACAAATGTTTATAAAAAGCTCATACTTATGTACATATTTAATAGTTTAGAAGTCATGAATCCTTTTCTAGGAGAAGTAAATGGTTTATTTGATGAGGATATTTTGAGCTGCATATTAATTTATTACACTGTTTATAACACTGTCATGGTGTATCTATAATCTGCAGCATCCGTTGTACTTAAGTATCGTGTCCCCCATGCTCCAGTGTGACTCATTTGTATATTTTAATAGTTACAAACTGAGAGCAGTGCTTACTGGGAACTGTAATTACTCTTCTGAATCTTCTGGGTGTTGTTGTTTGCCTTTTAACAACAAGACTGAATTCTGGCTCATGTCCTGAAGTAAGGTGTTGTGTTGCAGCTATTTTCTGCTGGCGATGAGTAGTTCACAGTTGCTAAGATGGTCACTCACTCAGTAGATCACTTTGGCACACTGCTGATGTGACTTCCCTCGGGAAGATGTTGGTCCAGGATATGAAGCTGTAGAGTTGCAGATTTTAATTTCAGATATTAATTTCCAGTCAGTCCGATGTCGAGTGCCAAGCTGCCGATGTACCAGCTGAATTCAAAGTGCAGGAAAATTGGTTCTTTGTGTGATATTTACCCGGCAATTTGGTACTTTGCTGGAGTTTTGCAGAAAGCTTTGAAATGGAAAGAAGTTTTACTATATGTGGCTAGAAAATAAATGGTAGTGTAATGGCAAATACAGTATCCAGCACATGAACTGCATGATAGTCTTTATTTACCATTCTTTACATATGCACTGGAGAAGTCGTTTGCTAATACTCATCCATTTTCTTTAGTGCTTGTCCAGTTTAGGGTTTAGGGTTGAAGTTAAGCTGGAGTCTACCACAGCTGTCAATGGGTGGATAAGCTGGATACACCCTAGACAGGTTGCCAGTCTACCACAGAGCTAACATACAGAAAAAGAAAGCTATTCACACTTACATTCACACCAAGAATCACCAGTTAACTTAAAATAAATGACTCTGAACTTTGAGAGGAAGCCGGAGTGTCCGAGAGAGAACCCACACAGGCAAGGGGAGAACGTGCAAAATTCACACATAAAGGCAGTGGATTGGAACAAGAACAAGAATATGAGATGAATAAGAGATGTTGACAGAAAGGATCCCATTCCTATCAGTGCACCTTATGTATTCCATAAATCTGACAGACTGTCCATGGTGTAACCTGCCCCTTGGATTTGGAGTTTATTGCCACTTCTGGTGATAAAAAGTAATCTTATGTTTGCTTTGGAAGCCATCCTGTATTTGAATCTTTGCAGTGCCTGTTTGGATGTTATTACAACCATGCTTGAAGCAAAAATATTCAGCATGGCTAGATGAAATTAAATCACTTAGTCTTTGGAGAGCACAGTTTAGGAAACATATTGGAAAACATGAATGCAAATGTTAAATATTTTATTTGGCTATACTGAGTGCTCAGGTTGAACTTATCTCACTTCTTAAATCAGATTTTCTACACTTGATTCCTGAATTTAAATGTTCTAGTTTCTCTCACTTTATTGATATTTCATTAGCCTGACATATATTTGAATATGTGGGTAAATACATGTAGAAGTTGAAAGTGTGATGTAGTTCAGCTTTGGTTAAAGATTCTGTCATATTTCCTTGTGCCAGAACCCAAGGTGCCATTCAGGAGAAAGCTGCAGGATGTGGAGGTGCAGGAAAAAACCTCAGCCACACTCATGTGTGAGGTGCCTCTTAGTTCCACTTATACCAACTGGTTCATGGAGGAAACGCGACTGCAGCAAAATGCTAAATATCGCATGGAGCAGGACGGCACCCTCCGTCGCCTCACCATACACAACGTTACCACCAACGACGATGGAGTTTATATATGCGAGATGAAAGAGGGCAGTCGCACTGTGGCTGAGCTCACAGTCCTGGGTACGGCAGAGACTCTTTTTCTTTCCACTGTTCTTCTTCATTGTTTGTGCACTTATCAAGTGTAATTACAATTGTCTATATGGGTTTAATGTAAATATTACATGTATCTCATGTGGATACTTAATGCGACATGACCTGGTCTGTGAACGTTTACTACATTGGACCATTATTTACTGCTATATCTATTTGAAAAATGCAGTTTTCAGTTCTGTTTTCTTCATCTCAAATCAGTTTCTTCTTATATCTCAGGTAACATAACTAAGAAGCTTCCTCGGAGGACAGTAGTTCCTGTTAGCGACACTGTCATCTTCTGCGTGGAGCTGGAACATCCCTATCCAGACGCCTACTGGACTCGCAATGGCGAGAAGTTAAAAGAGGATTCACGTATTTCCATCGGCTGCGTGCTTAGACAGTACACACTCACAATTAGAGATTGCCAGGCAGAGGACTCTGGAGAAGTGGCGTTTGTGGCTGGAGACTGCAAGACATCCACCCGATTCTCAGTTACTGGTGGGTTAAATGTTGTTTGATACATTCTAATGATATCTGTAGTAAATATATACAAAATATCTTGTGGCGATTGATTTAAATTCAATTTATTTTATTTATATAGTGCAAAATCATTTCAACAGTTGCCTCAAGGCGATTTTTATTGTAAGGTAAAGATCCTACAATATTAGAGAGAAAACCCAACAATCAGACAACCCCCTATGACTAAACACTTGGCAACAGTGGGAAGGAAAAACTCCAGCCATCTGCTGCAATCTTTTGGGGATGAGGGGAGGGTGACAGGACCCTTTGGTACAATAATGAACCAAACATTTATTGAATTATACAAAACAGTGTATCTCGATATATTTCTTGTTGTTAGGTCAAATATCAGCATATATTAAATACAAAAGAAGAACTGAAACTAGTACTCCAACTAAATAACATCACAATATTTTTCTATAGCTGCCCGGAAGCATCCTCCCGATCCCCCAGTTGACGCTGTGGTGCAGAACAAAACAGAGTCCTCCATCACCATTCAGTGGTCTCCTCCTGACAGTGACCGCCCTGTCCCCATCAAAGGCTACGTTGTAGAGCGAAGGAAGGTTGGTACCCAAATGTGGCAGAGGTGCAATGCTGAAGAAACCATTGTCACAACAGAGTTTACAATCTGCAGTTTCACTGAAGAAGCTAGCTACCAGTTCCGTATCTCTGCCATTAATGACTTTGGGCAGAGTGCCTACCTGGAGGTACCTGGAACCTTCTACCTTGGTAAGACTGAATTCTCTGTGATTGTTGTCATTTATGTCTATGTTTGGTTTTTGTTCTTCCTTCTTAAAATCCTGTTTGCGGGCCTCTTTTCAGAACCCACTGCAGAAATCAGAAAAGGTCTGATTAACAGCACTGCAGTCTCCGGTGAGGAATTCTCCATCTCTGTCGAGCTGTCTGCTGTTTGCTCAGGCTTCTGGTCCCTAAACGGACGCCTTTTGCGCAGCGGAGCCGACTACCTCATCACCAGGTCAAAAAACATACACACATTGCTCATCCGAGTTGTGACCATGGAAATGAACGGAACTGAAGTCAAGTTTGTGGGTGGAGGCTCACAAAGCAGTTGCATCCTCAATGTGAAAGGTACATACTAGAGAAATGACCCCAGTCCTATTAATTTGTGTCTTTTTTTGTGTTTTTTTTTCTTCCAATCAGTAATGCCCTCTTACAGTGCCACGTTGTTTTCAGCCCCTTCTGTTAGGTTCACCAACAAATCCGATCATCTAGAGGTGGTGACCTGCAGTGCCCAAGCCACTGCTCAGCTGACTGTTGAGGTGTCAGATTACGACACACAGGTTAGTGATAGAAATATGTAAATAATTTGTTTTAGTTTTTGCCTTTACAGACTCTATTAAAACAGCTGTTTTAATATAACGTTTAACGTCTTTTTGAAAGAGCTTTATAGATGTGTCAATAGGATATTTAATTATCCTAATTCTACGTCTACATATTATTATTGTAGGGTCTACCTTACAATATAAAGCTCTTTGAGGCGGCTGCTGTTGTGATAGGGCGCTGTATAAATAAAATTGAATTGACCTGACAAACACAAAGAGCTTTACTTGAGTAATTTACTTAAGTACTGGTTTAATGAACTTGTATTTTAATTTAAGCACTTCTGTGTAGTGTTACTTCCTGCTTCTACTCTACAATATTTTTGATTCAAATTCGACATGATTAATATGCTTACTTTAGGTACCTCAAATTATATTTTGACTATACAACTTGTGCACTATTAGATTACTTAATAGGACTATAACTTTTACATCTGTATACATTTTTTTCATTTTACCTAACACAAAATTCTGTTTTAACTCTTGTGTAACACAACTTTTCACTTTTCATTAAATACTCAAATTTCCTGTGACCGCCTTGTTCTTTGTCCTCCAATGCTACACCCTTGGTGCAGCCTTTTTTGAATAATCTGCAAATGAGACACTTTTGTGTTTGAGTAATTCCAGTTAACATTAATAGCACATGTATGTGTTTGTGTGATCCTAACCTGTTTAATTTGGAAAGCATTTCTGTATTTCTTTCTTCAGGTGGTTTGGACGAAGAACGGACGGGAGCTAAAAATGGGCAAAAAGTATGAATATGTGATTAATGACCGCAAGAGGATCCTGATGGTACACAACGTCACTGAGGAAGATGTGGGCATTTATGATTGTGTGTTACCTGATGACAAGATGTCCATGCAACTCACTCTTAAAGGTATATGTAAAAATTGCAGCTAACTTTACATCATTTATTGCTTCAAGTCACAATTAGGATTTTCCAGAGAGGATTTTTGTAATAGGAACTAGGTTCAGGGTGCAAAACACCTCAAATAATTTACTGGAATGTGAGCTGCTCTGATTGGTTTTATCTTTGAGGCATCAAACTTATTCATTAGCGTGTCTCAAAAGAAACTGCCCGTGCTTTCAAGGACAAAATAAAACGGGCAGAAATGGTCCGCTCTAACTCAAGTATGCTCTCTGTTTATTTTTCTGTTTTTAACTGTAAATGAATTTCCACATTAAGTGACTTCATCCTCACTCTAACCCATTACCAGAGTATTCCTGCCATTAAAAAAACAAAAACAAAAAACCCCATAAAAATGTGAAAGCCTAAAAAATTTAAATGCAAGAAAAAAACATCCATTAATTACAGGTGACATGTTTTAGATGAGTTTTTTCTAATGTAAATATCTCATAAAAACACAAGAACATCATCCACATGTCACATGATATGGACCCACAGCATTATACAATTCAAAGTAAAGTTAAAGAAAGTTTCTTCATCCTCTGCTGATCAACCCTCTGACCTGTGATGTGCTTTCTTATATTTAACGGGTCACTGTAAAGTGGCTGCTATCGGTTGGAATTCATGTATGATAATTTAATAACTGCTTCCTTTTACTTTATTAGAAAGGAAAGGAAAACATGTTTAGTCCTTTTGTTTATTTAAATGTTTATTTTAAATTAATTGAAAATAAATCCTGAGAAGAAACTGCTTCTCAGGCTGGCCCTGTTGTTGGAAGTGGTTGGGCTGTGGCCAACCCTCTTCCTAAACATGAGCTCCTGCGTTAACAATCCAACCAAACTTTTAAAAAAGACATTTAATTTTATTATTACACATAAGTCACATGGTAACTTTTTATTGCTTTTCCCTCCCAAAGATGAACCTGCCAAATTTCTAAACAAAGCCAGAGGTACCATGGGAATGTCATCGACTCTCAAAGGAGATCTTGAGCTGAGCTGTGAGGTTTCATCTGCAAGTGCTGCTGTTGTGTGGAGAAAAGATCAAATGGAAATCACTGAGGACCAAAGAACTACCATCATCTCCAAAGGGACTCAAAGGAAACTCATTATCAAGAGTGCCAAGAAGATTGATGAAGGACATTATTCGTGTGAGACAGCAGCTGACAAAATCACATTCCAGGTTAAGATAAAAGGTAACGCTGCATGATGGCACAAGGCTGGGTTTTTTATGCTGATTTGGGAGTATTTGATGGCACAGAAACTTCTTTTTTCCTCACAGAAACTCCAGCTGTAGCTGCCTTCTCCAACAAAGAGTCAGTCCAAAAGGAAGTGAAGGCCACTCTCTCCCAAAAAGCAACTCTTACTTGTAATGTGTCAGATAGCAAGACAGAGGTGAAATGGTACAAAGATGGCAAGCTGTTGATATCCAGTAGGACCATATACTCAGAAGCAAAAGGCAACACTCGCCAGCTGGTGATTGAAAAGGTGGAGAAGAGTGATGCTGGAGAGTATACCTGTGAAGCTGGAGGGGACAAGCTAGTCTTCAAGATATTTGTCATAGGTGGGACAGCCTGGTTGATTCATTTATATCTAAAGATTTTTAATCTTTATAAATGTATAAAATTCATAGTAATGCTCATGGTGTACATTTAATCATCTAAACCATCCACTATCTTGAAGTGCCAAAAATATACATATTTAGATTTATCATATCATCCTATCAAGCGCTAAGTGTGTGTTTCATATTTTGCCTCTAAATTATTCCAATCATCTGTGATTTTAAAGCTTATGACAGCACTGCTCTTCTTACTTGTGTTACCCTCAGATTCCCAGTCAGCTTTCATCAACAAGGAGTCTATTCAGAAGGAGGTTAAAGCCACGCTTTCCCAGAAAGCCACGTTGAGCTGTGAGGTGGTTGATACCAAGACAGAGGTGAAGTGGTACAAGGATGGCAAGCTGCTGACTTCCACCAAGACAATCCATACTGAGTCAAAGGCCAAGAATCGCCAGCTGGTGATCGACAGTGTGGAGAAGAAGGATGCTGGAGAGTACATCTGTGAAGCTGGGACTGAAAAGCTTGCCTTCAAACTACAGGTGGCAGGTAGGGGCAATGATCTAACTGGTTTGATTCATGGGGCTTGCAGGTGCTGCAGAGAGAGAGAAATTTATCATCCATATTCATGGTCTCCTCAGACACACAGGTCCAGTCAGCTTTCTCTAATAAGGAGTCAATCCAAAAGGAGGTAAAAGCCACCCTGTCACAGAAAGCTGTTCTAAGCTGTGAGGTATCTGATAACAAGACAGAAGTGAAGTGGTACAAGGATGGCAAGCTGCTGAGCTCCAGCAGGACAATCCATTCTGAGTCAAAGGGCAAGAATCGTCAGCTGGTGATTGACAGTGTGGAGAAAAAGGATGCTGGAGAGTACATCTGTGAGGCTGGGACTGAAAAGCTCACCTTCAAACTGCAGGTGGCAGGTAAGATCTTTTGAAATCATAGCATTACTTAGTTTCTATATTTTGAATAAATATCATCTGATGTTTTTTCCTTTCATGACTCCTCGTTCAGAGGCCCAATCAGTCTTCTATAATAAGGACTCTATACAAAAGGAGGTGAAAGTCACTTTGTCCCAGAAGGCCACTTTGAGCTGTGAGGTTTCTGATTCCAAGACAGAGGTGAAGTGGTACAAAGATGGAAAGCTCCTGTCCTCCACCAAGACTATCCACACAGAGTCTAAGGGCAAGAATCGTCAGCTGGTGATCGACAGTGTGGAGAAGAAGGATGCTGGAGAGTACATCTGTGAAGCTGGGACTGAAAAGCTTGCCTTCAAACTACAGGTGGCAGGTAGGGGCAGTGCCCTAACTGGTTTCTAGTTTTTCCTCTCGAGTTATGCGCCTTACAGATATTAAACCTATTTGTTTCTGGACAGCAAAGAATTTGAATTTATTTTCATGGTTTCCATAGACACACATGTCCAATCAGCCTTCTTTAACAAGGATTCAGTTAAGAAGGAAGTGAAAGCCACCATCTCCCAGAAGGCTGTCCTGAGCTGTGAAGTAGCCGACGCCAAGACAGAAGTGAAATGGTACAAGGATAGCAAGCTGCTGACTTCCACCAAGACAATCCATACTGAATCAAAGGCAAAGAATCGCCAGCTGGTGATTGACAATGTGGAGAAGAAGGATGCTGGAGAGTACATCTGTGAAGCTGGGACTGAAAAGCTTGCCTTCAAACTACAGGTGGCAGGTAGGGGCAATGATCTAACTGGTTTGATTCATGGGGCTTGCAGGTGCTGCAGAGAGAGAGAAATTTATCATCCATATTCATGGTCTCCTCAGACACACAGGTCCAGTCAGCTTTCTCTAATAAGGAGTCAATCCAAAAGGAGGTAAAAGCCACCCTGTCACAGAAAGCTGTTCTAAGCTGTGAGGTATCTGATAACAAGACAGAAGTGAAGTGGTACAAGGATGGCAAGCTGCTGAGCTCCAGCAGGACAATCCATTCTGAGTCAAAGGGCAAGAATCGCCAGCTGGTGATTGACAGTGTGGAGAAGAAGGATGCTGGAGAGTACATCTGTGAGGCTGGGACTGAAAAGCTGGCCTTTAAGATACATGTGCAAGGTATGACTCTATGGATGTCACACTTATAATAATATAGTGTAACGTGTAAAACATATTTTAGATCGTTTAATGCAAAGGCTTCTTCACAAAAAAGTGTTTTTGTGTTTGCATTGAATACATTGTTGGTTGCTTCAGTTGTGGGATGTAGTATTTGGTTTAATTTGATAAAAAATTGTTGCAGCCTTTGAGTAGAAAATTGAGTTATGTTGTTCAAATGACCTGCTGAGCTCCATGTTTTGGTCTCTGGTTACAAGATCTGGTATCTTTAGCTGGTTATTTGCCAGGTTCTAGTTATCTGAGTTATCGTGCATTTGCTGTGCGTTTTTGTGTGCTTTCAGTTGAACTGTTGTTTTTGTACAGGTAATTGTACTGTCACCTTACTCCATTATAGTTGATAACAAGACAGAGGCGGAATGGTAAAAAGATGACAAGCTGCCAAATCCCAGCAAACCAGATCACATGGATTCAAAGGGCAGGATTACTTAAATGGTGATTGACAATGTAGAGAAGAAAGATGCTGGAGGTTATATGTGAAAAGCAAGTGAAAATTGGGGATGTAACATACAGGTTAAGTGTTTTAACACCTAAAAGAGAAGTACATGCAAATTATATAACAAAAACTATGTAATAGTTATTGTCATTACTGTTATTTTAGTAACTATTAAAAGTGAATATTACAGTAACTCACTGACTCCTGAATCATCAAGCATCATACATCAATGTTGAATTTATAGAAAAAACTGTTGCAAGACAGATGATTGTCTAGGCTCTTTGTGTTGCTCTGAGTGGAGATGAGCTGAAGGTGGTGGGCACTAAGTTTGGAGCTTTCAGGTGGGGCATTGTAAAGGCGTTGTAAGAAAAAGGAGAGTACTGGAACACAAAGCAAAAACATGACAATAATCATGCTCTTATAATAATCTTTGGTTGTGAAAATTGTAATTTAGACATTATAGTCAATCAGCTGATCTGACTCGTCATTTACATAGATTTATACATTTATAGAGATTTTTTTAAATACTTTATGAAATCTTTGTTTAGGTTTATTTTCCTGACACCTGAATTGAGTAAAACTGGAACAGAAACTCAATGAAAGATTTAGAAATTTTTGTTTTTGGTTTAGTGGAATTGCAGATGTTTTCACATATTTGCATATTTTGTGGTCACGTTAGATTTTAGCTGTTAAATATTGTTCCCTGGTTTTGGCTTTGCTATGTATTTATCCACTTTGTTGCTATGAAAATTGATTTTCTAGGTTATATTTATCTCACATCACACTTAAACTTGCTACATTGCCATGACATTAATCACTGTTATTTCTGCAGAGATCCAAGTGAAGTCTGCCTTCTCCAGCAAAGAGTCTATCCAAAAGGAGGTGAAAGCTACTCTCTCTCAGAAAGCCACTCTCACCTGTGAGGTATCTGATATCAATACAGAGGTAAAATGGTACAGGGATGGCAAGCTTCTGACCACCAGCAAGACAGTTCGTGTAGAGTCAAAAGGCAGGAGTCGGCAGCTGGTGATCAACAGTGTGGATAAGAAGGATGCTGGGGAGTACATCTGTGAGGCTGGGACTGAGAAGCTGCCCTTTAAGATACAGGTGTTAGGTAAGCTCAATAAGTTGTCTCTAGTACTTTCCTACTGTATGTTGATGAGCTTTAAAATAGTGTTGGTGTGTAGTATTTCTGCCAGATTGCCTCGTTTGTATCCAGTAAGTTGAGTCATAGTTGCTTAAAGTTTTTTTGCATTTCACATTGATTGATGTTTTTTTTTTTTTTGTCCATTTGCTGGTCAGAAGCCCCAGCTGGCTTCTCTAACATGGAGTCAGTCCAGAAGGAAGTGAAAACTTATCTCTCACAGAGAGCCACGCTTAGTTGTGAGGTTTCAGATTCCAAGACAGAGGTAAAGTGGTACAAGGATGGCAAGCTGCTGACTTCCAGCAAAGGAGCCCACATGGAGTCTAAGGGCAAAACACGTGAGCTGGTGATAGAAAAAGTGGAGAAAAAGGATGCTGGAGAATATACGTGTGAGGCTGGAACAGAGAAGCTGGTATTTAAGTTGCGGCTAACAGGTAAATTTATTTTAAATATAACATGTTGCCAATGGATTACCACTTATTTGTACAAAGTACTGAAAATAAGTTCTTCTTTCTAGATTTAGCCATAAAGTTCCAGAAGAAATCTGTCAAGGACACATGCGTGGTTCAAGCAAGTGAAAGCATTGTTTTATCCACTGAACTGACCGCAGAGGGCGGTAGTGTGAGATGGTTTAGAGATGGCATGGAGCTCAAGGAGAGCAGCAAGTATGAAATGAAAAAAGAGGGCCTTTCTCGTACCCTGATAGTGAAATCTGCAGAAATGAAAGACAGTGGAACGTACTCTTGTCAAACTGCGGATGATAAACTGGAGTTCAAAGTTCAAGTTAAAGGCAGGTCATAGAAAAGTCTTAAATACAACTCTCATGCATCTGCAGATGCAAGATTTTTCTTTGAACTTTTCCCTCTCATGCTTTCTTCTCAGATTCAGCTTTGAAGTTTGTTCTCCCTTTGAAACCTGCCACAGTGGAACTGGGAGGTACACTAAGCCTGATTTGCGAACTAAATCAAGCTTCAGGGGATGCTGTATGGCACCATAATGGCCGTGAGATTAAACCTGGAGGCAGGTTCTGTGTCAGAGCAGATGGTGCTAGGCGAATTCTCACTGTGACTGGCATGACCAAGGAAGATGAAGGAGAATACAGCTGTGAATGTAGAAATGACAAGACATCTGCTAAAGTCTCCTCTAAAGGTAATTAACTAGTTTAACTAAAAAAACGTCTTTCCAGGATGGAAGCCTTTTCTTTTATATAATTATGCTTTATTCCTTTCAGCACCAAGATTAGTGAGGTTGGTCACCAAACTGAACAACGTGGTTGCAACGGAGCGAAAAGATGCCGTTTTCAAGTGTGCCGTCAGCCCAGCAGACGTCAGCGTCAGATGGTTCCACAACAGTATCCCCATCGTTTCTGGGCAGAAGTATAAGCTTGAGCAAGGTGGTGGCAGCCACTCACTTACCATCACCTCAGTCACTCAGAAAGATGCAGGAGAGATAAGTGTTGATGCAGAAGGCAAAAGCTGCAAAGCTACTCTACAAGTGCAACGTAAGATAATAATGGGAATTATTGTTTAACTGTTTATATAAATGAACACATACTTCCATCTAACATTCTTTGTGTCCCTTCCAGATGAACCTGTGACTTTCAAGAAAAAGCTAGAAAACCTGACAGTGGAGGAGCAAAGCGAAGTGAGGATGGAAGTGGAGCTCAGTAAGGCATCGGATGAAGTCAGGTGGATGAAGAACAGTGTAGTGCTGCAACCTGCAGGAAACATGGAGATTCGGGTAGAGGGAGCTAAGCAGGCTCTGGTCTTCAGGAGTGTGACTTATGCTGACCGTGGCATCTACTCTTGCGAAACTCTGGATGATAAGACCCAGGCCAAGCTCAGCGTGGAGAGTAAGACTCATCAAGATTAATGTTTTAAATACAGAATATGATGTGCATATCATACAAGAAGAAGAATGTCATTGTCATGGCGCTTGTTATCACAAAATCAGTCCTACGTGTTAACACTCTTTTCCTTTTCCCTTCAGTGAAGAAGATCCAGGTAATAAAGGGTCTAACAGAAACCAAGGCACGTGAAACAGAGACAGTAACACTTGAGGTAGAACTCAGTCAGGTCAATGTTGAAGGCTCCTGGAACAGAGACAGGGTCAAATTAAAGTCAGGGCCAAACTGCCATATCACAGCTCTGGGAAAGAAGCACATCCTGACGTTGTCCGGTCTCAAGCAGGAGGATGCAGGAATGATTTCCTTCCAGGCAGAGGGAGTGCATACTTCAGCTAAACTGATCGTCACAGGTAACGGTGGGCTCATGTTTGTCCTGATGAGGTCTAGTTTTCCTAAAAAAAATCCAGTCTAAAAAAAGTCTAATGTGCTGATTCTACAGAAGCTCCTGCTATGATCTCCAAACCTATTATGGATATGAGTGTTCCTGAGAAGGAGAAGGTTACGTTTGAATGTGAAGTGTCCAGAGCGAATGCAGATGTTAGATGGTTCAAGGTGAGAAATTATTACTGTCTGCTGATTTAAATGTGTGCAGTACACATGTAACATTTTGAATAACACCGAATCTGCAGGATGAGGTGGAACTAAAACCGGGAAAGAACTTTGCTATTCATTCATTGGGCCAAAAGCGCACTTTGGCCATCAACAAATGCTCCCCTGAAGATGGAGGCACGTACATCTGCCGTACTACTGATGATAACACTTCCGCCAAGCTCACTGTTCACGGTAATTACTAATTATGCAACAAAGTAAGGAAATCAGTAAGGTACAATTAATCTAGGTTCAGTAAAGTTTTCTGTACTTGGCCTCTTTTTCCTGCAGCCAGAGATATCAAGATCATCAAGAAGCTGGAAGATCTGGAGGTAATGGAGAAGGAGAGTGCTAAATTTGTCTGTGAAATCTCACACGATGAAGTGGAGTGCCAGTGGTACAAAGGAAACACAAAACTCAAAGCCACTGACAACATAAAGATGAGGCAAGAGGGTAAGGCCTCAAGAAATTGGAAAACCATTTTAATTAAGCTAAGCATGTAGTGCTACAGGATTTGCCTTAATGAAGATTGGGAATAACAAGGATGTTTTCACGATGATGTCTGTTTCTAATTCCAGGCAGAACTTATGTGCTGCTTTTCAAGTCTGCTACCCCAGAAGATATGGGTGAAATTAAGTTTACAGCTGAGAAAGCATCTTCAACTGCTAAACTTAAAGTGAAAGGTAAACGAATATGTGTTCTGTGCACTAAAATCACATAACACTGAATGCATGGTTGCATGGTAATAGCTTCTCAGTCCAATGCTGTTACACACCGTGATGTTCAGTGTGGCTGCAAATGGATTATTTCTTCTCACTGTGTTAAGAGCTCTTAGAAAATTGCAAACAATAAAACACACGTTTAAATTTGATGAACAGCTTGACTTCTGTTAGTCGGTTATTCTCCCAGAATGCGTCCACATCATTTACTGATACAAACAATAAAACTTGAGGAAGTATCATTCTAAGAGAGTCACCACATTGTGCCATTCTGCATATATTTATTCTTTCTATTGGTAAGATATAAAATCCATTTGCAACTTCACATTCACATTGTCACTCCTCATTGAAGCTTGATGGCAAAATGAGCACTCAACAACAGCACAGCTTTACAGTTTTATAATTTTATTCCAGAGGAAAAGCATTCTTTTTGTTTTTAATGTGTGATGGCTTATGAAGATTGGTTCTCAAAATCTCCAGCAGTACAAGAATGTGATTTAATTGTGAAACAGATTACTTGTACCCACAATGCAGTATTGTTTCACCAGTGTTTTAGTCTATTGCTATGTGATTTCTTGGCAACATGCTGGCACCATAATATATGTTTTGTGGTTATAAATTAGATATTGTTAGGGCAGCACAGTGGAGCAGTTCACGGCATGAAGGTCCTGGGTTTGAATCCACCACCTGGCCGTGGGCTTTCTGTGTGGAGTTTGCATGCTCTCTGTGTGGCTTCCTCCCACAGTTCAAAGACATGTAGCTGGTGGGATTGGGTTAACTGGTGATTCTAAAGTGCCCACAGGTGTGAATGGTTGTCCATCTCTCCGCGTTAGCCCGGGGACAAACCTACAGGATAGCCTCCTGCCCTATGACACCTATGATAGGCTCCAGCCTAGGCAACATTATGACATCAACAATATGTGGTGTAGATAAGACTTCAGGGGCCTAAGATGCATTTGTGCCAATTTTTTTTGATCGATTGTGAAGGAGGATTTTGTAGGCAAACAAACAGATTTTGTGTGTTATAGTAAGATGTACGGTAGCCCTGAGAAGCCAAACAGACTGCAACTTAAGAAAACACCAGCAATAAGAAAAATGCTGCAAAAGCACGGAAATAGGAAAAACGACAAAGGAAATAGGAAAAAACAGGTTTCCAAAAGCACAAGGAAAGGGTTTCTGGGGAGACAATAACCCGACGGACCAGTTGCAGGAACCAAAATATGCTAAGAATTGTGCTGGGAGACACTTAAAAGATGTGGAGGATCTATCGGTTTTGTGAGGAAACAAAAGATGAAAGGTAAGTGTGTTAGCCTGACTATTAGCCTAAAAATCTGTCATCAGTATTATATGAATCATGATAAAGCACACCTACAATGTTTTGGGTTCCTGCAACTGGTCCGTCGGGTTATTGTCTCCCCAGAAACACTTCCCTTGTGTTTTTTCCTATTTCCATTGTCATTTTTCCTATTTCTGTTTTGTCTTTTCCTATTTCCGTTGTTGTTTTTCCTATTTCTGTTGTTTTGTGTGCTTTTGCAGCGTTTTTGCTATTGCTGGTGTTTTCTTAAGTTGCGGTCCGTTTGGTGTCTCAGGGCCACCATAAAGATAAAATATTTAGTGCATCTGATTTCTATTAGTATGAAAAGATCATTTGATCCTGAAAGAGAATAGCTGTCTAGTTTTGTATCAGTTGCTGTAACTTGCATATATGGGCTAATTTTATGTTAGTGCCATTATATACTCTTTCTTTTTTCTTTAGCTTTTGCAAAACATGTTATATTTCAATGCAAGCATTAATATATCATCAAAAGCATTAATATGCAATACAATTCATATACCATCTGAAATTACTTTAACTTATGCATAGACACCGGCAAACCCCTTGCAGCACACATAATAGTTTTCATTGATTAAGTGTTATTGTTACTGTAGAGCTGCCTGTGAAGTTTGTGAAGCGACTCAGGGATAAGATAGCGATGTATAAGCATCGTGGTCATCTTGAATGCCAAGTGTCACGTGCCAGCGCAAAGGTGAAGTGGTACAAGAACAAGACGGAGATCAAACCCAGCAAGAAGTACGAGATCAAAAGCGAAGACCTGTACCGAAAGCTCACCGTTAATGATGTGGACTCTGGGGATGAAGACACGTATACCTGTGATGCCACTGATGACAAGACATCCTGTAAACTGCTTGTGGAAGGTAAAACAGTGGATTGTGACAATAGTTCATTTTAAACTTACTGCCACTGTAAATGTAAATACTTTCTCATTATATCCTCAGAAAACAAGCCATCAGTGTCCAATTCAATGAGGTGTATGCCAATCTGAAATAGTGTACTAATGGGAAATATGTGTATAATAGGTTGTTAATATGTTATCTCTCAGTTGTTCTATAACAAGCCTAACCTACTAAATTAATTAACATTGAGGTTGAAATTTTAAGATTTTTCTTAATCTAAATGAGTAACTAAATTTTAGTGCAACCTGTTTTTAGTTTTGCTGATGTGTTGAAGTTTTATGTTGGGAATTTTCTGTTATTACAGAAAAAAGGCCTTTGTGCATGTACCACCGTGTGGGGTACAGTGTATGAAGTCACAGGACGACTTCATACACTGTATGAAGATGCGTTGCTCTGGATAAATGAAAGTCTTATACTTAAATACAGTTATTTTGCATATGATGTGTGGTGTTTCCATCCTATAAAGTAAGATTTATAATTCCGAACCCATTGCTAATAGTTGGTAGCGATAATAGTTGCATACAGCCTTAAAAAAAATAAATCCCTTATATGAGCTATACCATTAAAAATTCACATATCAACTTCATTAAATATGGGCAAGCATATAAGCAGTCATATGTGTAAGGTCATTAAACTGTCATATCATATTTGAATATCATTGATGAATGTCTACACATGCTAATAGATCATCCAGACGGTTGTGCATATTTTAGCAAGTCAAGTAAACAATGTGTAGGGCTAGACCAATAAATCCTAACGGTGAATACATCAGAAAGCATCACGACAACATGCTATAAACAAATCGTGTCTGGGGAGAATATTGATGAAGTTATATATTTGCACATCAAACATATCTCTCAATGTGAAGTTTAAAAAAAAAACAAGCATTAAAACAGTACAAATCTGAGGGATGCCTATCAAGATTGTTTGCTTATATTTTGTTTTGACCTTTGAACTCTCAGATATCCTTATCAACCTTAAATTCCATCAGTCTAAAGCTACACTTGTTAAGTGTGGCCTCAGGGTTGGCCTCAATTTTTAGTTCATTGAACATTAACTACAAATTTAAGCAATGAGGTCATCTTAATATAAAAAAGAAGCACAATTTCAACAGTATGTCTCAGTTTTTCTACATGATATAGACATGCTGTTGTAGTAAATTAAATAAATCTGTCAGCACGACTCTTTGGGCTTAAAATTGTAAGTAAATGTGTAACATTACATAATTTCTATTGTTTAATTACTTTGTTGCCACCAGGGAGGTCTTTGTCAACTGGAAACACTGTAAAACATACATACAATCCTTCTTTACATTTTCCAATGTTAAACAACGGGCTGGATTGGAGTCTTCGTGGTGCTGATTCTGGCCCCTGGACTTTATGTTTGACACCCCCGCTTTAGTTCTTGTAAAATGACTTTCATGCAAAAAATGGATGTCATTTCTTAATCCCTGGGAAAGAATGTGAAGTATTTGCAGTTGATGAATTCTTTTCACTGATCCATTCTCTTTTTATGATCCCTCCAGAGCAGTCCATCAGCATAGTGCGGGAACTTAGTCCAGTAGAAGTCACAGAACCCTTTGCAGCTGTTTTTGAAGTGGAAATCAGTATGGAACTGGTGAAACCTCCTGTATGGACTTTGAATGGAGTTGCTCTGCAGGAGGGGCCTGATGTCGAAATGGAGAAAGAAGGCACGATGCACCGTCTCACTTTCAAAAAGACTAAAGCATCAATGACGGGAGCTGTACAGTTTACAGCTGGGAAGAGCAAATCTTTAGCCCAGCTCACAGTTAAAGGTAAAAGTTTTCAGTGTTGTGTTCACACAGAAAATTCTGTATGTATACACAGAAAACTTCCATTAGATTTGAGCTGAGTCTAATCAGTCATTGTTGCTCACATTCAGAGCGCCCACTTGAGATTGCAGAAGCCGTTAAAGATGTTAAGGCGAAGGAGAAAAGTTCAGCCATACTCAGCTGCAAGTTCTCTGCTCCACCCAAAGAGGTTAACTGGTTCAAAGGTCGAGTGCCTCTGGCAGCTTCAGACAAGTACAACATCAAGCAAGATGGTACACGTGCCCAAATTACCATTCACAGGCTGACTGAGGAGGACAGTGGAGAGTACCGCTGTCATTCTGGACCTGCTGAGACCAAAGGCACACTTACTGTTGAAGGTACGTTTTCCAACTTTAAATTGTCAAAAGACTGTGTTTAAAATATGGATGAAGCCACCGTGACGTCAGCCACCTGTTAGTTCCCCATTGTGAAGCCTCGAGTTCAGTGTTTTCACTATCACCATCCATTTTGGTTCCTTGAAACCAGATGTGAGAATCTGACTGAGAAACCGAGGACATTGCATGCTCTTTGGCTAAAGATTTTCAATAATAGTTAATATTGATATTAGTGTCATTCCAATATCATTCTCAAAAGACTTGTATCCAAGCAGAAGTCTCTTTGCAACCAATAAAATAAATACAGTCTGTTTGAATATCACAGAGTTCCCCTAGCATAAACAACTGATTTGAAATATTTTGTGATTGCTCTTCAAACTGAAACTGCTGTCCCGATTCATCTGCCTAGTGCGTGAAATCAAAATCACCAAGCACTTGGCCAATACAGAAGTCGATGAAGACAGCGATGCGGTATTCACCTGTGAGATTAACTACGCTGATGAAGAAGCTCAGTGGCTTCTGAATGACAAGGTGCTCTTCACAAATGAAGTTAACACCATCGCTCATGAGGGGAAGGTTCACAAGCTGACACTGAAGAACCTGGCACCTCAAGATGGAGGAACAATCACCTTTCAAGTCCGCAAGGTCAAAGAGTCTGTCACACTCAAGGTTAAAGGTGAGAGCATTAAATGCAGTTCCAGAGTTGATATTTCACAAATGAGGCATTTATTTATCCCTCAATCACTGTTTTACTTTCTGCAGAGAAGCGCGCTGTGTTCCTCAAGTCACTAGACGATGTTATTGGAGAAGAGAAAGGCATGATCACTCTGGCATGTGAGGCATCCAAGCCAAGAGTTTCCCCCACATGGAGAAAAGAGGGTAAAGTCTTAAAAGCTGGGCCAAAATATGAGCTCCTTCACACAGGCAAGTCTTTGGGCCTGATCATCAAGGATGCCACCAAAGATGATGCTGGGGAGTACAGCTGTGACCTTGGCACTGAGGTATCCAAGGCAAAGGTTACGGTCAGAGGTGTGTTTTTCTATCATTTTGTATATTTATTTGTACACACTGCTTTTCATATATACAGTTAACTTATACACAATTTGGTTTCTATCATAGAAATTGGTATTGGAATAACTAAATGGCTGAAATCAGTTGAAGTGAATGAGGGAGATACATGCAGCTTTGAGTGCATCCTGTCTCGTGAGAGCACAGATGAGTGCTCCTGGACTGTCAATGGCCAAGCTGTTACAAACAGAGGCCGCTTTAACATCTCCACCAAAGGACGCAAATACATGCTCACTATTAAAGATGTCTCCCCTGCTGATGCTGGTGAGGTAGTGTTCAGTATCAAAGACTTGAGCTCCAAAGCAACATTGACAGTTGAAGGTAAGCTTGATATCAGTCTTTAAGAGGCTTTGGCAATGATTCAAATCATAAAATAAACATTTATCCTCTTATGTTGCAGGTAAAGCTTCATCTGTATCAAAAGGACTGCAGAATATTTGTGTCATTCAAGGGGAAGATGCTGTTTTTACTTGTGAGGTGACACAGGCTAGTTTTGCTGTAAAGTGGGCCAAGGATGGTAAAGCCATCAAAAAGAGCCAGAAATATGAGCTCAGCCAGCAAGATAGAGTCATGAAACTGACCATCCATAATGTGTCTGCTCAAGACTCTGGAGAGTACAGCTGTGAAGTTATTGGAGGTGCAACCACCAGAGCTAAGCTAGAAATCAAGGGTAAGACTCTAAGAAAACTCAAAAATTGCCTTGGTCTAATTTCACAGTTCAGCTTTGATGGGATACGATTATTCTACGTTGTGTTTCGATTTTCCACACACAAGCAAATAAACACCACACACATACGTAAAGTAACACAAAGGTGTTTGTGGGTCAGTCCTTCTGGAAGCAGCACCTAGTGGTGGCTGTTATACTAGCTGGCAAGAGGACCTTTAAAAAGTATTTGTGTTGATGATTTAATTCATCTGGAAAATATCCCTGTTAAAGGTATGTAAAGATAAAATGACAATTGTATTTATATAGCACATTTCATTACATGAAAACGTAATCTGTTTAACGCAGAAAATCATTCTACATTTTCTCCATTATGCCAGCTCAGGTGTGTATAGGTGCAGGAATTAGTAATGATATTCCAAGTTGAAATATTTGCTAGACATAGAATATGTTCTGGAGTCTTTTTAAAAAAAATTAAACTATAGATTAGTGCCGTAGTTTCATTCTGTGGCAAACATTGTCACAGCGAAGTTTCCTTTTTGCAGAGCCAATCCATAAATTCACTAAAACGCTAAAGGACAGTGAAGCAGACGAGAAGGGCTCCGTGACTCTGCAATGCACGACGGAACAAATCCCATCCACGGTTGTATGGCTTAAAGGTCACACAGAGCTCAAGGCTGGAGGGCGATATGAGATGTCTCAGAAAGATGGCGTCTTAACTCTCATGATCAAACAACTGGAGGAGAACGATACTGATATCTACACTTGTGACGTAGGCACTGCCAAGAGCATGGCCAAGGTGACCGTTAAAGGTGAGAACTTTAGCATGAATGAAGGTGAGACAACGTTTTGTTCTTACTTACATCTTACTACACTGCAGAAAGGTTTGAGCTAAGTTTTCTTTTAATTTTGAGATTTGATTTGATTTTTTTAATAAATTGAATCCAAAAATCACAATTTTACATTTTGTTCTCAAAACATACGGACAGTGGTTACATTGTGCTGTACCCTTGGAAGTCCACTCTGTCACTCAAGAGGAGTCACAGGAGATCAGAGCGCATATGCAAACAACTTTGGTACCAAACCAGCTGATACCATCCAAGGAGTTTACAAGCTTGTGGATTTTTATCTTTATGTATTTATACAGTTCTACTGTGTTTTTCTACAGTCATTTGCAGCATTTAGGTTACTGCAAGGAATTCTTTGCTTTTGTGTTAAGTGGCGTTCATATCTTTGTCTGGTATATGTGTGTTTGAGGTATTGTCTGTACATCCATAAACTGTGAATGACATTCATGAGCATGCATTGGCGTTTCTGAGTGACCATTGCCCAAATTCATTGGATTATTCTCCTTTCATTTAAGAATTTAAATTTTTTTAGTGCAGTAAAGTTTGGGTTTTGCTCCTAGATTTTAATCCACTGTTCAGAATCAGCTGCACTGTTCCAAAGACTAATGTTGGACAACTGGAGCACCTCAACTCCATCCGCCGTCCTAGCTTCCCATTATTCATTCTTCTTTACAACCCAACAAAACTCAAAGTAATTTTCCATTTTGTTTTAGCCCTGCCCGCTACTTTTATTGAGAAGCTCAAAAACCAGGAGAAAAAAGAAGGGGAGAGTGTGACACTTCGCTGTGAGCTATCAAAACCTGCAGCTGTCGTTCAGTGGAAAAAAGACTCTGAAATTCTCAAACCAGGAGAGAAGTATGACATGAAGCAGGCAGAGGGCTCTTGTATACTTCAGATTCTGAATTTGAAGATAGAAGATAGTGGAGCGTATACATGCATATGCAGGGACGAGAAGACATTTGCAGCCTTGAAAGTCACTGGTATGGATTCATGATGTTTTTTCCAGCATAGTTTTGGAAACATTTGTGTGCGAATTTTCAAAGAGACACAATTCTGTGGCCTTGTTAAAACTGTTTGTATGACCTAATTGTGATGAGTAATGAAAACATGCTTGTGCAGCATTGCCACCAAACTTCACGCAGAAGCTGGAGAGCCAGCAGGCCGAGGAGGGAGCTGACATTATTCTGCGCTGTGAGCTCTCTAAAGCTGGAGTCCCAGTAGAGTGGAAGAAAGGAACACAGGTCCTGAAGTCTGGAGAAAAGTACCAGATGAAGCAGAAGGCCTCTGTGAATGAACTCGTAATCAAGAAGGTGGTGCCTGAAGACAGTGGAGACTACAGCTGTGTGTGTGGAGACCAGAAGACCACAGCCAGCCTTAGCATAAAGGGTAGGAAGGGGATTTTCACAGTTAGTCAGCAAAGTGTTTTTATGTTTGCATGTTACTGCAAATCAGTGTTTCTCAGAATCTTTCGTGTGTATTTTTATGTTCTATGTAAAACACTGGCACTGTTTTCTAATCTGCTAATAAATGTTCAGCCAAACCAGTCACCTTCAAACAGAAGCTGGAGAGCCTGGAGGCCGAGGAGGGAGGCAGTGTTACTTTGCGCTGTGAGCTCTCTAAGGTTGGAGTCCCAGTAGAGTGGAGGAAGGGCACGCAGGTCCTGAAGTCTGGGGAGAGGTACCAGATGAAGCAGAAGGCCTCAATGAATGAACTTGTGATAGAAAAAGTGGTGCCTGAAGACAGTGGAGACTACAGCTGTGTGTGTGGAGACCAGAAGACCACAGCAAGTCTCAATATCAAGGGTAGGAAGAGGATTTTCACAGAGTTATTCCATATAGTTTATGTCAGCATGCCACTGGTTTCTCAGTATTTGTTATTTAATAGTTGTATTTTATTTTATTTGTATATTTGTATTTTATGTCATGACATATCACTGACTGGAAATGAACCAATAAATGCTCAGCCCAACCAGTGACCTTCAAACAGAAGCTGGAGAGCCAGCAGGCCGAGGAGGGAGCTGACATTATTCTGCACTGTGAGCTCTCTAAAGCTGGAGTCCCAGTAGAGTGGAAGAAAGGAACGCAGGTCCTGAAGTCTGGAGAAAAGTTCCAGATGAAGCAGAAGTCCTCTGTGAATGAACTCGTAATCAAGAAGGTGATGCCTGAAGACAGTGGAGACTACAGCTGTGTGTGTGGAGACCAGAAGACCACAGCTAGCCTGAGCATAAAGGGTAGGAAAAGGAATTTCACAGTTAGTTGGTGCAGTGGATTCAAATTTGCATGTTCTTGTGGATCCTTGTTTCTCACTTTGTTATTTTGTATTTTTTTTATGTGATATTTATGTTTTCTGTAATGCCCTGCCACTGATTACTAATCCACTAATAAATGCTCAGCCCAACCAGTCACCTTCAAACAGAAGCTGGAGAGTCAGCAGGCTGAGGAGGGAGCTGACATTAGTCTGCGCTGTGAGCTCTCTAAAGCTGGAGTCCCAGTAGAGTGGAAGAAAGGAACACATGTCCTGAAGTCTGGGGAGAGGTACCAGATGAAGCAGAAGGCCTCTGTGAATGAACTTGTAATTAAGAAGGTGTTGGCTGAAGACAGTGGAGACTACAGCTGTGTGTGTGGAGACCAGAAGACCACAGCTAGCCTGAGCATAAAGGGTAAGAGAAGATGTATTTATTTATTTATTTTTGTTTTTGTATTATTATTTTTTTATTTCAAGCTGTCACTGTTTGCCTTTTGTGTTCTATGTTTTAAACCACTTTTGTCCCCCCCAAAATATATGTCATGTTGTGGGATATAACTTACTATTAATAAACTAATAAATGTTCAGCCCAACCAGTCACCTTCAAACTGAAGCTGGAGAGCCTGGAGGCCGAGGAGGGAGGCAGTGTTACTTTGCGCTGTGAGCTCTCTAAGGTTGGAGTCCCAGTAGAGTGGAGGAAGGGCACGCAGGTCCTGAAGTCTGGGGAGAGGTACCAGATGAAGCAGAAGGCCTCAATGAATGAACTTGTGATAGAAAAAGTGGTGCCTGAAGACAGTGGAGACTACAGCTGTGTGTGTGGAGACCAGAAGACCACAGCAAGTCTCAATATCAAGGGTAGGATTTGTGATTTAAATCTGTATTTAAAGTATATCAAATTTTCTTTGTAATACAGTAACAGTTCTCACGTTTTGTTTTTTCAGACTCTGACTTTTTTGTCACTACACCTGTTGTTTACATTTAAATGCAATGATAATACCTGGATTAAACCGCGTGGATGATTGTCTTATATTTGACTGATTTTATCTCAACTGAAGCGCTTGTACTGTGGCACTTGCTTCTGCTTTGAAATTTCTCCGACTGTCTGTTTATTTAGTTGTTCTGTTTCTGATGGATAATGAAATGTCATTCATGTGGATGTTACTCTGTCACATTTTAGTGCATCATCAGGTTGAAACCAGTCTTCGTCTGAATTGCTTTTCTGCAGTGTACCTGCGTTTTGACAGTCTGACTTTTCCTTGAAGATTTCACTGCTTCTTCTTTTTCACTTCACCTATTTCAGGCAGCCTTACTTGTTGCTGCATTTTTGTGAGTTTTGGTTGTTTTCATCGGTGGTAGTCTTGGCACTGGATCTTATATTTATGTTGGTCTATAAACCTCTCTTGTCTACATTTCATCTGATCTGTTCTGTCGTGTTATATTGCAGTTATTGGCTCTGTTTTATGGGGTCTAATCATTCCTGAAACTCCCTTTTGTCAGATGATAGTTTTCAATTGATATATTGGTGAAGTACAGCGATCTGAAACAAAATTATTTCCTCTCAGCTGTGAAGCTGGCAGCTCCTCCTTCAGCTGCTACAGAATCTAAGAGGCAGGAAACCAAAGAAAAAGGTATGAAAGGATGATGGTGATGTAATAACATAACTGTCAGTGTTATGTTGCCCTGTCCAGCTTGATAATGGCCTCTGCGCTGCCATCTGCAATCCTCCTTTAAATTGTACCTGTATGCTGTGGCCTGTAAAATGCATGATAGATATATTTGTCAGTATGCTGTTTCCTAGATTTTGGCTGTATCGAATAATCCTTCTGTCTTACAATAGAGTATTTAGGTCTCTTTCCCTTAAGGCTACAATGCGTAATATCTATATCATATTTATATTTCAGAATCTCTGTCTGTAGTTGCTAAAGACAAGCACAAGAGGCAAGAGATAAATGAGATGGTAGAAGGTCATTTTCAATAGTCTCGACTTGTTTGCTGGTTTATCCTGTTTCCATTATGCCTTTGCAGTGAATCAGTGTATACACTGCAGCTCTTTGTTGAAAGGAGTCACAAATTAAGTAAATGAAGCCATTAGGGACTTTGTACCTCTGTGTTTGGCTGCTGACCTTTGCCAAAGAGAGAAAGTTGTTGGGTCATGACTTAGCTTAAATTGTCTTGTTGCTTTCTGGCGTAATTTCTATTTAGTTTGCTTTGTTTTTTGTGGGACTGCTGGAAGATTTGCTGCTGGAAAACTGCTGTTGATTTGCACTTACTGATGTTTTGGTCTTTGTCATGTTTTTGTGGTTTGCGCTATTTTTGCAGAAAAAAAAACAGCAATATTTTCAGTCTCCACATCTGTGGATTTGTGTGGTCACTAGATTATTTTGTTGCATGGAGGCTGACGTAGTATGAAGATATGAAGCTGTCTTTGATTCCATTAGCTGTTTGTGTTTCTGCTCTTGATGAGACTTGAATTACTTGTTTCTGCTGCTTTACTATGACAAATTCAAATGATGGGACCAATGTTGTGTTCAATCGTTTTAGCGGTGACATTGACAACAACTGAACAAACTCCTAAACAGGATTTTCAGGGACATTCAAGAGAGCTTAAAGTGGGAAGTGAAGGTAATGCAGTGCGTGTTTGCATGGATTTTTCTGGACACTGCAAGAGCAGTGAGAAAATTCAGTTGCAGTCTTTTAAAATGTTGTGCGCAGTCCTGTCAGTCTTTGCTTCAGTGTGTGCTCATCTATATGTACTGTGAGGTGAATGGCAAAAATACAGAATGAAGTTGGCTTTCGTTGTATGTTTTTATTGTGCCAGCTGCATTGTGTTGTGTGTTAAACAGGGAACATTTTGTTGTGTTTGTGACACATTTTCTGTCGGATCACTGAGATAATGGTCTGAGGTGTTTTTGTTTTTTGTTGTTGCTTGTAGGTTTTTTCATTTTGAAATATTTCAGTGCTTCATGTCATCACAGATATTAACCCCCCACAACCGCCCCGAATTATTTTTACCTCCACCAAGAAGGTTTTGTTTTTGGTAGCAGTGGTTTGCGTGCTTCTGTGTGTGTGTGTGTCATTCGTTAGTAAACGCAATAGCTCGAAAAGTTTTGAATGTATTCTGATAAAACTTTGTAGGGGTGTAGAGTGGGGGCATGTTATCAGTCCTTTGAAAATCTCTTACATGCACCCTTTAATGTGAGCTTAATCATTTATCGGTCAGCAATCGACAAAAAAACATATCTTAGAAACTATGGCTCCGTGTGTGTGGTGTGTATTGTCAATTTACAGAATAAGAATTTAAAGTATCATACTCCTATTAATCTACTTCAAGATTAATCGATTGATCTGAATGTCAAAGTGATAATAATGCTATATAGTGCTATTTAAAGCTGTTTAAACGTCTTACTGTCATTGTTTTTATTGACAACATATAGGGAATGATATATGGAGATCCTAAATATCGTGTTACATCTGATCTCTTTTTAAGGTTAAATAACAATAAAATAACTGAAATACATGTGGATACATTTTATGAAAATAACCAAAAAATCTTTAAAAATTATGCTTAAAATTCTAATGACTTTGTTTGGATCGTATACATTTAGGAAATGATACCCGTATATGGGGATTGTAAATCACATTATAGTTTGCATTCAAATGTCGTGTCACATTTGACCTCTGACCTCACTTTTATGTGTCACATTTACCTTTATTTCAAGTTGACCCCAAGATGTGTTATATTTTTCAAGACAATACTGTCAAGAGGACGATAATGAGCTGCCTTGATAGTTGGAAATATAATAACTATCTAATAGGATGATATTATAAAATAAGGTCAAATTATTAATGTCCAGTTATTTACTCTTCCTTTATTTCCACTACCTACCCCTACGTGTTTGTGTAATCAGAGTAAACATCTGTCCTGCTGTCCTTATGATTTATACTGCACTGATTATTAAAGTAGCTTTAAAAAGAACAAAGAAAACAACATGAAATTACACAAAATACAATAATATTCCCTTAAAATAGAGACTAGAGAGTGTGCTGCCTTGGTGGAGGTTTGTACTCTCTGAGAACTTCTTGTTGTTTAAAGTATTCAGTTTGCACACTTGTAAGCGGATCACATAAGAATGTGCGACATTCGTGTTTGTGTCTGTGCCTTTCTAATTCTGGCTCTTGTGTTAAAGTTACGCTAGAACTCCAGTTGTAAGGTTATTGTGTTTTATCCCAGCTGATAAGCCTTTTGCTGGAACCACTGACAAACCAGCTACCCAGCGACATGGGACCAAAGAGCAGCTCGCGGGTACGCAAAGACTTGACTTTTGCATTGACCAGCAGGTTTCTTGCTGTACAGTACACGTTATTGCTACATTACTCTCATTGTTGGTGGCTGTAGCTTAGGTGGCAGAGCAGGTCAGCCACTAATCAGAAGGTCGGTGGTTCGATCCCAGGCTGCCTCCTGGCTGCATGCCAAATATCCTTGGGCAAGAATCCGTGTTTGCCTACTGGTGGTGGTCAGAGGGCCCGGTGGCGCCAGTGTCCGGCAGCCTCGCCTCTGTCAGTGCGCCCCAGGGCAGCTGTGGCTACAATGTAGCTTGCCATCGCCAGTGTGTGAATGTGTGTGTGTGTGAATGGGTGAATGACTGAATGTAGTGTAAAGCGCTTTGGGGTCCTTAGGGACATACAAATGCAGGCCATTTACCATTGTTAGTTTTGCTGCATGCTTGTGTTTTCGTCACATTGTTTGGCGGATTGAAATATGTTTGACTGTAGCTTGTCTGTGTGACTTTTTTAAAGTTAGTTAAATTGATTTCTAAGGTTAAGTCAATTTAAAAGCAAACAATTCGATGTTGTCTGAGTTTTTCTAAAGAACTTGAGTGTAACAACTTTAATTTACTCTATTTTTTGATAAAATTGCTGGAAAGTTTTTTTTATGCAGGTTAAAGATTTGTAGAAAAATCATTACTTTTATGCTTTCATGTTATGATATATTCACTGATATTACTATAGTCAGTGATATTTGATATATTTATGATGAAGTACTGGAGACCACGAACGAAGAATGGAATGACTGATCTTACTGGTTCCTAATGGACTAGTGATCTACCAGAATGGTGATCACATTATACTTTATATATTAACTACTTACTTAATGAAGTAATAGTAATTGCTTTCATTCATACAGCTTAAAGGCTGGTCTGGTGTTTCCACAACTGCCAGCACACATTTGGGTGAAGTAGGCAATTTATATTGAAATGTCACATTATCTTTTCCAAGCTAGTCACCTTTTAGGTATTTTAATTTGATTAGAACCTATTTTACATACTTTGTATCCTCTGCATTTAATTGGCTTTCCACCAGTTCTGTCACTGATAACTGGACCATAAAAGATAAAGCCCACTTTTGTCCAGTTTACTGAACAAAATGTAATATTTAATAGGACACTACAAACAAAGAATGATCGACCTTACTGGTCCTGAACAGACTATAGTATTAGTCATCAGGCAGAATGGGGATTTTGTCCTTTTTTTATACACTGAATACTTATTCATGAAGTAATGGTAATTTGACTTGCTCATTAATGATCACAACTAATACATATTTTCACCTGAGGAAGCACTGAGTAACTTCATAATTATTCAGCCTGATTAATTATGAAATAATTAATTACATCATTACTTTATACACAGGTTATTATTTTGAATATTTTTACTTTCACTTGAACACTGGGTTTAACATAACATGAAGTTTTTCACTACTTGCCCTCAGGAATCCTATCAGAATGGAAATAGATTTCATAATATTGAGTTATATGGAATAATTTTGTTTGTGGCTACGCTGCTATGGAGTGTTGTTTTTAAACTGTCCTATCCCACGCACTGCAGTTTGCTTCTTGTGCTTCCCGTGGTTGTGATATGTTGGCAGAAAGATTGCTGCAAAGAGGTTTGTTGCAAGAAAGTTTATCTTAAATAATGGATACCAGTACTGATATAAGACCAGTCTCTTGTCTCTCAGTCTAGTTTTAAGTCTAGTTTGTGACACATAGTGTATATTGTGTCTTGTGATCATGTGCCTCAGCCTGGCTTTGTAAATTCTCCTGTGCAATTAAATAAAAGTTTGCCATATATTTACAGTAATTATAATTACCTATATTGTGGTCCCATTAACCTGATGAAATATGGAAGATAAAGTTAAATAATATAAAATCTGTACCTTAGAAATGCTTCTTGCCTTAATGCAGTGTTCAGTGTGTCCATATGAAGATGCTGAGTGCTATTTGTTATGGTGTGTCAGTACTATTTTAAGACACTGCATTTCCAATCCAGTGCACGAGTCTGTGTGTTATTTGAAAATAATTGAAAGTTAGGAGCTTTTCCTCTATCAGTCACTGTCAGGGTTAGGAATGAAGTGTAGGTGAAACATCTGGATATAAAAGCATGTTGCTTTTGATTTGTTGCATCAATTATTCTGTTGTTGAAGCTGAAGTTCTAGTTAATGCAAGTCAATTAAAACCAACTAAATAAATACAATTACAGCACAGACCTCAGCAGTGACCTTGACAGTTGAAGCTGAGAAGCAGGACACCCTAAAGACAATTGAAGGTATGTGCTGGCGTTCTTGACTGCATTCATACAGGAGTCTTGTATGAATGCAGGACTTTCGTCTACAAATATGAAAGATGCTGAATAAATTCACAGTTTCAAATCTGTGGTCCCGTCATGACCTTCTCAACTCCCAGCAGAGACAAAAAGGGTACAATGGGCAGCCTGCCTGCCTTTGAAGACACTCCACACTCTCACAACAGGCAGCTGGGGGTCTGCGAACATTACAAAAACCTTTTAGTTTGCAGCACAGTTAATGTTAACCAGAAGGATAAACACCTCAAGCTTTGAAAATCCACAAATGCAAAGCACAATCCTTACATAGCATCGCAGAAAATAACATTAAATGTTTGAGCTTAAAATTAACTACATACTTGTCTATGTTTCATATTTACTGAGTACTGTTGTACTGAACATGCTGCGGCCACACAGGCTCAAATTTCAGGCATCGTTGAGTCTTTGCCTCATTTGTTCTTGTTGGCTGTGCAACTTCAAGTCTGTGGATCTGTGGATTTTGGATATTTGTAAATCATTCACTGTTGCTTTTTATAGACTTTATTCTGTATTTTACTAGTTTGTTAACAAGCATTTTCTCTTATTTATCCTAAACATCACCATTCTTCTTGTGTTTGTTCGGTACTGTGTTTATGACTGTGAAGGTAAACCTGCTGGTTTTGATGTCATCCCTCTGCTACAGCTGGATACCAGAGCGCTGGAATGAAATTAGTGGCACTGTGCTTTCTTTATTCTCCTTGTTTTGTTTTTATTCAGCCGAATTGGTTGTTACTCACTTGTTATTACCTCTGAATACCAGATTTGCAGAATTATCTTCCTGTTCTTCTCAAACAGGAATAGTTGAGAGCTGTATTTGACAGACTTTTAAGTGCTATGTTTCAAATAGGCAGAGGTGTACCTGCCCTGACTGTGTATCAGTGTTATTTGTGTTTGTGCAATAGAGCTACCATATTGGATGCTTTTTATATTTTCTATTTTTGTTTTTAGTAGGTTAAAAAGTATATTTTTATACCAAACTAATCTTTTGTTATTAAATCCTATGGGTTACCATAATACATACCAACAGATTATTTTATCTATTTAATCCCAAGTTCTTCCAGTCATATTCATTCGAGACCTGGAGAGCCAAGTAGCTGAAGAGGGAGGTAGTGTTACCCTGCACTGTGAGCTATCAAAACCTGGAGTCCATGTAGAGTGGAAGAAAGGATCAGAAGTCCTGAGCTGTGGAGAAAAGTACCAGATAAAACAAAAAGGATTCTGTCATGAGCTGCACATTCTTGATTTGAGGCCTGGAGATACAGGAAGCTATTCCTGCTCTTTAGAGGATACAATAAGCTCAGCATCTCTGGTTGTAAATGGTAGGATGAAGCTATCGCATGTTTTCTTCTTCTTCCAACAAGTCCTTCATTTGTTACTTCATTTCTCCTTTCTTCATCATCCCTGTTCCTTTTTGCATAATTACTCCGTTTTCCTTTTTTTTGTCCATCAGCTCTTCCAGTTATTTTCACAAAAGAGCTGGAAAGCCAAACGGCTGATGAGGGTGACAGTGTCACCCTGAACTGTGAACTATCTAAAGCTGGTGTTCCTTTGGAGTGGAGGAAGGGAGAACTTGGTCTTTGTCCTTGTGCAAAGTATGAAATTAGACAAAAAGTACACCTGGCTACACTAATAATCCATGATGTTGACTCAGAGGATTCTGGGAGTTACACATGTGATGCCGGTGATCGTCGTAGCACTGCACAGCTAGCTGTGAATGGTATGCTGTTGTTAGTAGTTTAAACATAGTGGCAATAGTGACTTTTTGGTTTATCTTTATTAGAATGTTGCTCGAAATATCTGACTTGACCTTAGGGTTAATACTCTAAACTCTAAACTAAAGTATGTAGCTTTGACTCCAACTTCTGCTGCTTACTTCTTCACATGTGCGAGTTGAAGGCTAAAACTTGGCCTAAGTGTATTCATTCTTTCATTTCTCCTAAAAAATTTCCCTCATTTTTTCTCACTTTTCTACAGCCAAGCCTGTCCTTTTCAAAACCCAGCTACAGAACCTTGAAGGACAAGCAGGAGAGAGCGCCTGTCTTCGTTGTGAAATCACAAAGCCGGGGGTCAGTGTGGTCTGGAGGTGTGGTGATCGGGTGCTGGCATCCAGCAGCAAGTATCACCTGAAGCAGGAAGGGACTGTAGTTGAGCTTATTATCTACAAACTGCAAGGAACTGACTCAGGAGAGTACTCCTGTGATACAGGCAGGCAGAAGACTTCAGCTGTCCTCACTGTGAAGGGTAGGATTTTTTTCTATTTAAGACTCCTCCTCCCATGCACTCTCTTGAGCTGGAGCCCAGTCATCCTTCATTTCCAACATACTCCCTCTTATTGACCATCTTCTCACAGAGCAACACTTGAGCATGAAGTGTTTTCAGTGTTCAAGAAAACTTGCTCGTCTCATATTCATTAGCACCTCACTCTTTTGTGCACTTCTTGTTATTTGTACGCACTTTTCTCTTGAGCTCAATCACTGATTTCACCATTTGAGCCTTTCACATTTCTGTCTTCACAAATATTAACAAACACTATTCTGTTTTCTTCACTTGGCACTGGTAATTGTAGCTCAGCAGAAATCTTCATAAATGATCAACTTGAACTTCACCAACCGTTGTGTGCTTCTAAACTGTATTTGTCAAACAGAGGTCGAGGTTAAAGTACTGAAATTCTTGGAGAGCTGCGTTGTGTACGAGGGTGAAGATGTCTGCTTTGAGTGTCTGGTTTCTCATGAGGAGGCACCAATGGCACTGTGGAAACTCCAGGATGTCCCTCTGCAGAATAATGAAATGAACCTGATCAAGGCTGAGGGCCAGCTGCACAGCCTCACACTCAGAGGCGTCACTACAGCTGATTCGGGGACAGTAACTTTCACTGTGGGAAACCACACTTCCACAGCTTCTCTGACAGTCAGAGGTAAGGGAATTGTAGGCAATGTATTCCTTGGGAACATCTTCCAGTTGGCTTCTACAATAATTTTGGGACCATTTTCTGCTCATTTGCTGTCAGTCTTCTTGTTTTTGGATACTTTCTCTCTATTTTTTCAGAAGTTCTTAAAAGCAACAACTGTCTTGTTATCTTTTCATCTTGCTATGGCATCTAAAGAAAATTCTCACTTTCCATTACATTTCTATTTCCAGAGTACATGCATGCTTACCTTACTTTCCATTGAACTTGGAACTAATAAAACTCTTTTACTTTTCATTTTAGTACTAAAATTACATATTGGTCTTGTTGATCAATGTGTTTTCATCCAGTAAATTTTTGTACATCACCGAATGCTGTTATAACTGTTGTTTTACTTTTCTTCAGTTAAGCTGAAAGTGTTGAGTCTTTGACTTTTTCATGTTTGGGGTTACTTGGATTAAGGATTTAAGACATGCACCATGCACCACCAACAGCAAAACTGTTCTGATTGTTGAGTTTTTTCTGATTAGTTGTATTTGTGACTTTCTTTAAACTTATGAATGGGTGGATTGTAGGTCTCCTTGGAGCACATTGATTGATTGTATGTAAATTTCGGAAGGACTGTGCAGCCTCGCTGTGGATTATAGTGTGTTTTCTGGTGTCAGTGTTCACTTTCTAAAGTTTTAAAGTCTGTCATCGTAATGAAATTGGTGTCTCTGGCAGCTGCACCTGTAGTATTCAAGAAGGAGCTGAAAAGTCAAGAGGCCAAAGAAGGTGGCGAAGCCTCTCTGTCCTGTGAGGTATCAAGCCCTGATCACAAGGTGACCTGGTGGAAGGGCTCAACTCTTCTCACACAGGGAGAGAAATACACCATGGAGCAAAAAGCAACCACTCACATTCTGATCATACACAAGCTGATCATGGAGGATAGTGGGGAATATACCTGTGATACTGGAGACCAGAAAAGCACTGCTACCCTGACTGTAAAAGGTAACAGAGCACATCTTCATCTATCATCTGTCTGTGTCTCTCATTTCCTTTCCTCTTGTCTTCATCCTTCCTGAAGTTCATATTCACCGCATTATCAAGTACTGGAGAAAAGTGTATCCTCTACTCACAGCTAATTCTCTTGGATTCACAGATTTAGAGAATCCAGTGCTTTACTGGAATTATCTGATTTTATTTATATGCATTGTTGATAGTTTAGTAGCTCTAGGGTGTTAAAAAACACCACTAGATCTATGTTTCTTAGATCTGGGAATGACATGTTGAGTAAGCATATGCCCTCATAGTCATGATGTCTGGAAGTTCTGCACAGAACTGATCTCTGATCTCTCATCATCCATCATCCCATTCACCCTCAGAACATGTGCGAATCATTCGAGAACTCTGCGACATTACTGTGACCACTGGGAAAGACGCCGTCTTTGAGGTTGAGCTGTCACACTCTGGTGTCACCAATGGGGAATGGTGGCTTTCAGACAACCTGCTTCAAAATAATGATCTGAATCAAATGAGCATTATAGGGAGAGTGCACCGCTTGGTCCTCAAGATGGTAACCACGGATGAATCTGGAGATGTTGCCTTCGTGGTGGGAGAAGAGAAGAGTGTGGCCTGTCTTCTGGTGGAGGAGAAACCCAAAGGTAAAGGAGATGAGAGTTTTCACCCTCAAAGCCATCTTCATCAAAAACCACAAATTATTATTATTCTTTTTCAAATCCACTGGCATTTTACATTTTTTGTATTTTAATTAAATATATTTTATAGTATTTATTAATTTTAAAGGGCTGATAGAGGTACTTTAGCTCAACAAAGCAATACTACTGTAAATTGTATGTTTTAAAACTGGGTAGTTTCAGATATATAATGTAGTTCTGCAGCATAGTTATTATTGTGACTGTATTTCCCATTTGGTGAGGTAATACATTTCTTACATTAGTCTTTGGTGCCCAGCCGTTAAATTCTGTATGTAATTTTCATCCCTGTGCTTGTTTATTAGTCTAGCTAGACATGGATTTAAAGTAAATTTGACTGCTTGCTAGAAACATACAAACACAAGACAGTAATTCTACATTTTTTTTAATTGTCATATTATTTTATGTATAATTTGTGTTACAGTAGTGCACAGAAATCAAGAATGAAAGCATAATGCCAGTGCAGAACGGAAAAGGTTGCATATAAATGCTACTTGTCCTGTATTTGCAGTGCTAATATTAGAGAAGCCACACAACACTGTTGCATTAGAAGGTGAAACGGTCACTTTGGCCTGTACCATCTCTGACCCCAGTGGTAAGGTTACATGGATCAAAAACAATGTGGCCCTCCAAGCGGGTCTCAAGTATGACCTGAAGAAGAATGCAGCATTTCATCAGCTTCGTATTCACAACCTGGTGGCTGAGGACGCCGGAACGTATACCTGCGACACTGGGGATGCACAGTGTGATGTCACGCTGACTGTGGAAGGTAAAAACATTGGATTGAAATGGACAACTAAAATATTCTTGAACGTCCACCTCCTTCAACCATCCAGTATAGTCTGAAGCCCTCAGGGATGTTTCTGTCATCATCTCCACTATTTGACATCAAACTTGCCATCTCAATATGATATATCAACCTTTCTTACTTTAAACTCTCACCAGGTGCCCCAGTCTTCTTCCAGACAGAGCTCAAGAACCAGGATGCCATAGAGGGTGATGATATTACTCTGCACTGTGAGCTCTCTAAGCCGTGTGTTTGTGTTGAGTGGAGGAAAGGAGGATTAGTCCTCCGGCCTGGTAAGAAGTATGACATGAGACAGTCAGGGTGTATTCAAGAGCTCTGTATATGGAATCTGGAGCCTGATGACAGTGGCTACTACACCTGCGATGCAGGAGACCAGCTCACTACAGCTTCTTTAGCAGTGCAAGGTAGCCTCCCATTCAGTACTGTTGCAGTTTTTCTTAATTGTGAAACTTCTATCTGGCTCATATGTTGTGTGCTTTTTGTTTAGAGTTGGCATTATAATGATTATGAGTACATTTAAGGCTCAATGTATTCATATTTTCCACTCAACAGCAAAAGAAGTCTTCATTGTTTCTGGCCTTAAGTCCACCGATGTTTTTGTTGGCGAATGGGCAACTTTCTCCTGCCAGCTCTCTGGTAAAGCCCACGGCAAGGTGCAGTGGTGGCTGGATGGCAGTTTGTTGGAGAACAGCCCCTTTAGTGAGATAGGGCTGGCCCAGGGCCACATCCACACACTCACCTTAAAGAACCTGGCCACAGATGACTCTGGCACTGTCACCTTCAAAGCTGGCAGTTTAACATCAACAGCCAAGCTCTTGGTCAAAGGTATCATGAAAATGTTAACTGCAGACTGAGATAAGCTTTTTCCCAGAGACTGAGATAAAACAGTCTCTTTTAGTCTTATACAATCTCTAAGGATCCTGCAGTGTTTTAATTCTACATTTAAAATCTTAATGGGTCAATTTTCCTACTTCAGTATTCCTTATTATTTTGAATTAAATAGTAGAAGCAGGAAACTAATATATTTATGTTTTCTATCTAATAACTGGCATTTACTACAAAAAAATGTGCCATTCTTAGTGAAGAATATGGGGTTATATACTATGAAATATAATCATATTTCATATATAATCATATTTTTACTGCAGGGTTCCATCCAGCTATTTGACATATTAGTGCTCCATCATGCATGAGAAGCAGTAGTTTGCATTTCATTAATAATAAGAAGTTATGTTTTATGCAATATGCTTTGATATAATCTAAAAAATACAACTGGGTGCAGCACCACAGTAAAGCTTTAGGAACCTTTTCGACTCAATTAACTAGTATTAAAAATGCTGCTCTTCTTTTGAATGTAGGGCTGCTGAAATGATGAAAAATAATAATCACGGTTATGTTTCTCACTTTGAAACACAATCAGATTTACTAATTTTGTGGAGCATTGTTATACCTTAAGAAGTACTTTCTGATGCATCATCATTGACGTGTAAACAATGAGTATAATTACATAATAGTGAAAAGGACAACTAGAGAGCAACTTGCAATGGGATCACACAAGCCCCCACACCTGGTCTGACTAAATCTAGCAACGTTGTGACAGTTTTGTTGATAAAATCCTTTACAAACGGATATAAACACTAGTTTTCTAATGATGCTAGCCTTATATTGTTCACATTCAAGCTACAGTAGACAGACCTCACTTTGAGCCTGGTGTAGAACAGAACACAAAATGATTGATTCAGAGTGACGCTCTGGTCTAAAACCTCTCCCAAGGAGGTGATGTTTTTAGAGGCATTAGTGTGCATGTGTGTTTCCTACAAGGTCAGTAGATCAATCTGAGGGTTAAAGTGACAATAATGATATATATGGAGGTATTTAAAACTATGTTTCTTACTGCCATCATTTGTATTGTCAGTATATGGGCATGTGTGTGCATTGAGTTCTTCTTCAAGATAAAATAATGTTGAAACTTAATAACGATAATAATGTATTTTATCTTTAAAAGTATGCTTTAAATTTTACTGCCTTTGTTTGTATTGACAACATTTGGGAAATAATACTGGTATATGGGGATAAAACATTTTAAATACAACATTATAGTTTGCATCCAAATATCATCTGAAATTTGAAAAATTATTCTCAAAATGATATCAAGTGTGTTAAAAGGATTTTAACAAGGGAGGTGTCCAAAAGTACTTCTAGAAAACAAAATGAATATATACAAAATACAGTACTACTCTCTTGAAAAGTAAATATTGCCCAGGTTTGGACTCTCGGAGTGCTTCTTATTAGTTTAGTCTTCATTGTGAGTCCCTTGTGGTTTAGTCAGTCTAGCTATCAGGCTAGCTGACCTTTTGGCTGGTGGGTGGTGTTTCTGGTCCACATCCTGTGACTTTTTGTGTTTGATTTTCCTGCTTTAACATCTTGCCGGTTTTTTCATGCTCAATTTAAGGTTATATGCCCAGATTCAAGCTTTAATTACACTCGTATCTATACAGTATACTATTATCCATATTCTGACTGCAAATGTTGTAGCCAAACAGCTATTAAAGTTGTAAGCAGCTCCTTTTAACCATGCCTTCAACAACAGGGAAGGGAAGACCAATTAATACAAGAATGCTGAAAACAAGCATCATCAATCTGGGATTTCTTCATTCATTTTAAGCTTTTTAAAGCATGATCGTGATTATTACAATGTTAACCTGCAGCCCTAACTGTAAGTATCCCTCAGTAATATAAATAAGAAGCCTGTCTTATTTGATGTTTGGATTCAGTAAAAAAAACAAACATAATCTAGATCTGGCTTCCGCCATGTTAAAGTTCACAGATGGTGAACCAGAATATTGAAATGCTTGAAAGAAAGTGCTGCTCCACCCATCCATACAGGCCGGCTGCTCTCAAATAGTCATGCTCTATTCATCTCCTCTGTCCCATCCTACCAAACCCTTCTTCTAACCTTCCAGCATTAAAATCTCTAACTCTTGTATATACACTTTGAGTTTGGCATTTCTATCTACTATCACTCCCTTCTTCTCTATGAGCTGCCAGTAAGTCTTGACCCTTGGTTGTGAACTTTGACTGTTGGACTTTTTGACCCCCTGAGAGCTTATGTAGGTAAATGCATTGGACGATTTGAAAATACATAAAAATATACATAGAGTATTGGTACCTTACAATCAGTAATTTCAAAATAGTATCACTCACATCATATTTACACTCAGACATGCTTTTGGGGGTTATAAAGCTCTTATGTCAGTCGGCATGGCCCGCTTTTATCCTTACATCTCATGGCCAGGATTTGATCCTATGATCCCCTGACCCCAACCTCAGATCCCACAGTTGAAGTGGTGAGCGAGATGGAGGACCTTCGGGTGGTTGAAAACCAGCCGGCTGAGTTCATCTGCCAGTACTCAAGACCAGTGAAGGCTCAGTGGAAGAAAGATGGGCAGCCTTTGCAGCCTGATGGCCGAAGGGTGGTAGTGGAGCAGGACTGGAATGTGGCTCGCTTGTACATTAGCCATGTGTCTGCTGAGGACAGGGGCACATACTCCTGTGAGGCAGAGGGGACCTGCGTGGTTGCTTCACTTCATGTGGAAGGTGAGCTTCCCTCCACATGGAAAAAGCACCAGGCTTTAGGGGATCTTCTCTGCTTCTTCCCAGAAAAACGTCTTTGGAAAAAAAAACCCAAAACAGGCCTTTTACTGATCATCACAGCATTTTTGCTCTTGGTTGAAAAAGGCTTAACTATTTTACTTTTGTCCTTGAGAACTGCAGTCCTTTTCTAATCTATTATAATTAAGTTACCATGGTTTCTTGCTTTCTACAGCCAAACCCATTACCATTGTTCAGGGCCTGGAGAATGTGGACACTTTTGATGGAGGCGAAGCGCTCTTTGAGTGTGCCCTGTCTCGTCCTGAGAGCAAAAACTGCCAGTGGCTCCTTGATGGCAAACCACTGAAAGAATCCCCTAATGCTGAGGTTGTATCATTCGAGAGCGGTCGTCGCCATCTGCTCCTGCTGAAAGAGCTGCGCGTCAAAGACAGTTGCACGGTGACTTTCAGAGCTGGCGCAGCGTCCACATCTGCCCAGCTCACTGTTAAAGGTAAGTCATCAAAATGAAGACTGTACAACAGTGAAGCTGTAGTAATATTATAATCTTGACTTTAGTCAGCTGTGAATTACGACTTTCTTGTGGATTTTTCCCATGTAAGGTTGGCAGTTGGCCATTGTGAAGGGTTTGGAGGACAAAGTGGCTGCAGTGGGGGAGAAAGTCGAGTTCTGTGTTGAGCTCACGGAGGTGGTCCCTACGACAGAAGTGGTCTGGTATGCTAATGGAGTTGAGCTGAAGCCCAGTGACCTCTGGGCTATGAGGGCCGATGGTCGGTCTTACCGCCTTGTCCTGAGACAGGCGCCTCTTTTGCCCCAGCAGGAAATTACATTTGCTGCCAGAGATGCTATCTCTCTGGCCAAGCTCACCATCATCAGTAAGTGTTTAATGTCTATGTCTATTAGGGGTGCAACGATATTCGTATCGATATTGAACCGTTCGATACAGTGCTTTCGGTTCGGTACGCATATGTATCGAAGGATAGAACATTTGTAATTTATTTTATCAACTTTCCTTCTGACGATGCTGTCTGTGTTGAGCGCTCAGTGAATCTGCGTTCGACTACTCCGCCTAGGCTGCAC